TGTGAACGATTACAAATGATACTGATCACAATCGTGTGAAATTCACAGCCAATCAGATTCAATATTTGTAAAAGATACTCAGAAACATGTCTACAAGCACAAAGCTGAATTACAGGGATAATTTTAATAATAATAATATTCTTTATTTTCCTCTAGCAGTAAATGAAAACATTCAGATGCAATCAATGTACCTGGATGAGTGTTCTCATGAATAAGAAATACAGACATGTTTTGTTCAATCTTTGAGTTTATCTGTAAAATTACATGTAGCTCCATTGACAATTCTACAATTAAAACCAGTCAAATTTCTAATTAAAACACATTCAAAACTAATTTTCTCATGACAAAATGAATGAAAGAATTGATTCAATTCAATTAAACATCTCAGTAAACATTTTTATAGAAAAACTTTAACCTTTTGAACCCGCATTTGCTGCATTTTTTTTTCCCTCCAATTTGTTCAGTAACTTTGAACCAACTTAATTTCATTGCAGGTCTTAATCAAACTTTTGAAAATATTTGGAAATAATTATGACAAATAAAATGTATTTTGTGTTTCTAGTATCCTTAGTTATTTGAAAAAGTTATAAAGTTTATTTTGAGCAAATGAGCCAAAAATTATTGATTTCTATGAAAATTAGCTAAGGTCAATTTACCAATATTTTTGATTGCATTTACTTCCTTGTATGTAAGTACCGGTAAATGACAAATGTTAGCTGTATGAAGGAAATGTATCAGTAAACTAACTTAGATGTTACTTTCCATATCCGCAGTGAAACCATGATTATGTCAGCAAATGCTGATAAGCTACAGCTCATTGGGGAACAAAAATCCAATAAATAAAAAACCCTGCCTAAGGCAGATTTTTCTTTACTTGGCTTTACAAAAGTTTAATTTTGTTAAAGGAATAAAAAATAAAATTACAACCAAGCAATATAATTTTTTCCTATGTTTGTATAGGCTTTTATAATAAAGAACATGAAACTTACTGATATTAAAATATTAAGAAGATTTTCTAATGTCGGTAACTGTGGTATTAACTTCTGAACAACTTTACTGAAAGCTTCAAATATGGAGTGATCATATATACTAGTTAGGTAAAAACTGCAAAAGAAATAGGAATAAATAAGAAATATTAATACATAGCATGCGTAACAGCATGCCGTAATTTTGCAGTATTGCACTGGGTATTTTCATTCTTAAGAAATGTGAATTCCAAAAATGGAACGACTACACACGTAAAGGTTTCTCTAATAATTAAAAACACAT